GCACCTCTTGCCAGGAAGCATTGTGTGGTAAGGGCTGACTGAGTGGCAACACTTTCCTCATTTCTAAGTTACTACTGCACGCTGCTGCCCGAGAAACCCACAGGGCAGGCCTGGGAAAGGGCTGCTCTGTAGGACTTAATGGCTCTTCATCTCCTGAGCAAACAATGACTTAGCAACATGCAAATCATAACCCAGCCTATTGTCGACAGCATGTACTTTAACTGCCCAGTGCAGCTTTCTGAACAGCCCAGTCTAAAGGGAGTTCAGTTCCTTTGGATCTGATGGGTTCCCCTTAGAAACAGAACATCACCCTCATTTCCTTGTGAATTTAGGACTTCATAAAATGAGACCCACCTGTTCGCTTACATTAACTAAACAAGTGGTTGTAAAGGGAGGGCCTGGTTTGAGTTGGTAACAAATAGTATTTAATTTTGGCCATTTGCCTTGTTGGTTGGCTCTTTTTTAAACAGGGTTTCTTTGTGTAACCTTGGCTGCCTCGCTCTCACTTTGTGGACCAGGCTGGTCTTGAACTTACAGCAATCCACCTGCCTCTGCCTCCCCAAGTGCTGGGATTACAGGTGGGCGTTATCACACCAGGATATTGATTGGCTTTTTTATAGCAATCTCACTATGTTTTTAATTTTAGAAAGAGTATTTTTGGCTGGACAGTAGTGGCACACACCTTTAATCGTAGCACTCAGGAGGCAGAGGCAAGTGGATCTCTGTGAGTTTGAGGCCAGTCTGTTCTACAGAGCTGGTTCCAGGACAGCTAAGGCTACACAGAGAAACCCTGTCTACAAAAACTTAAACAAAACAAGAATGTTTTTGAAGGACAAACAAGCAGTTTGTTCAGAAGTAAGGAACAGCTGCCCGTTGCTGGGTGGGGACCTGAAAATGAATTGCCTGGTTTTTACATTTTAAATATTTTAATTATTATTTTAAAATGTATATGTGAATAAGCACAGGTGGCTTCAGGGATCACCTGTATCAGATACCTTGGGAACCACAGTTACAGGTGGTCTTGGGACGTCTTCCCAGAAAACTTTTTTACTTTTTTTTTTTTTTTTTTTTTTTTAAAGAATCCCATGTAGTCCAGGCTGGCCTCAAACCCACCACATAGCTGGTGGTGGCCTCCACGTCCTGCTCCTCCTACCTCTGCCTTCCATTTGCTAGTATTACAGGTGTACCAGAGTGTTTGGTGGACTCCAGGCCTATGTTGCCAGGTCTAACGTACAGGCCAGCCAGGCAGGAGAAGGGGCTGAGCATGGCTGCTCAGCTCTAGCCTCTCCAGCTTGGATGATCATTGGCAACACTTTATTGTTTCCTAGTCAGTGAGGTGTCTGATGGCATACCGAGAGGGGTGGGGCTTGGCTTCCACAAAACAAGCTGATTTCGCCTGGAAGTCTGTTCTCTGCAGGTACCAAAATGAGACAAGGGCTATTTCAGGATTGTCCTCCAGGCTCTTATGTGTGCACAGGGACACTGCAGTGTGGATTCTCTGGCCCAAGGAGGTTGCAGTTTTCTGTCACTCTCTCCATCTAGTCTCGTGGTCTGTTGTGTGGGCGCCTTAGATAAGCTGAGAGCTCGGGAGACTCCACAAGGTCTGAGGTTAGATCTGTATAGGATGTTAGCCTTGCGCCGTGCCTGGCACAGCTGTGGGCTCAGTGCGTTCCTGGAAATGAATACATAGGTGGACGTTTTTGGTTTTGTTTTTTGTTGTAAAAAGTAAACCAGACAGCAGTAGTGTAGGTCTGGCATCCTCCTTAGGCAGGAGGATAGGTAGTTCAAGGCCAGTGTGGGCTGCATGTAGTCCTGTCCCAAGAAACAACAAGTATAAAACTAAATAAAATGCTCACAAGAGAACACTCCTATGATCCATTAGGAAAAAAAAAAAAAAAAAACATAAAGAGTGAAATAAGGACATTTTCTCCTTTCCGGAGAACAGTGTTGACTGCTTGGCATACGTACATACACACACAGACACACACACGCGAAGCCGCTCAGTGATTGGATATGTTTTGAGGAATGTGGGGCTCTAGCCTCCCCAGGAGAGATCTTAGGAGACCACCATTGCATGTAGTTCACTGTGGAACCTACTCCTTAGTGTGCTATACAGCTGCATACGTGCGCACATACATGTCATTTCTAACTTGCTCTGCAGCTCTCTTTTTGTCTTATTACCCAGCGTCCCACTCGGTGGGATGATGATGGTGAGTATTACTCCTCCTCCTCTGAGTGTAGTGTTATTATTCAGTGTCCCAGTCAGTGACCTGTGGTCAACAAGTAGGGGATTTTGAGAGACCAGCGTCACATAACTTCTATCACAGTGTATCACTAATTCTCTTTTATTGTCAGTTATTGCTTTTAATATCGGAATCTTACTTAAACGTGGAACTCTGTCACAGTGAGAATGTATAGGGAAGAGCACCATAGAGTGTGTGTCCTGTCCACAGTGTGAACATTCTGAGTGTTTTGTAATACATCCTACCCCGGAAAGGGTGAGCTACCATACGTTAGAATTCACTACGTAACAGTACATCAGCCTCTGCTTTGTTGTTTTAAACAGCCCAAAAGTATTTCAGAGGCTCAGTATGCAGAAATGGAATACTATGCTGCAGATGGATTGTAAACTGGTTTTCTGTTATTTATTATGACTGGGTTTCAGGGAACATCCTCTCTTCATGCATGTCTGTAGTGTGTGTGTGTGTACATGTGTGTGTAGCGTAGATGGACCAAATGGAATGTGTTTGCTCACGTTGGTTTGATGAGTCTTTAAGATTTCTTAGCAGTCTGCTAGATGGAAAGTATTTCTATAAGATGGCCTTTTGGGTATGTTTCTGTGTGCTTGATTTAGTACACACGTGTGAAAGCCAGAGGGTCAACCTCAGGTGTTCCTCAGTTGCTGTACAATTTGCATTTTAGACAGGACCTTTGACTGGTACCTGGTGCTTCCCAATTAGGACAGGCTGCCTGGGCAGCAAGCCTCAGAGACCGGACTGTCTCCCTCTCACCAGCTTTGGGACGTCCAGCATGCACCGCCCCTCCTGGCATTTCGATGTAGATTCTGGTCCTCATGGTCTTCTGGGATGGAAGCTGTCTCTCTAGCCCTAGCCTGTATTACCTTTATCTCTTCATTTAAAAACATGTAGTTTTCTGTTGAATTGCTTTTATTCTGTACTTTCCTTTGTACTTCACACTGTAGTGTGAAGGAAATGTTTACAATCAGCTGTGTGCTTATATGAAACACAGCGATCTCTGTGCATCTAGATTTTCTGATTTTAGGTTCCTTACTTTTCTTGTGGTTCAGGGCAAAGTCTCATGTGGCCAAGGCTGACTTCAAATTTTGTGTAACCAAGAATGGCTTTGAATGCTTAATCCTGCTTTCGCCTTCAGAGGCTGGTATTACAGATGTGTGGTACCATACTGGGCTTAAATTATGTCTTTGGGCTAGATGATAAAAGTAGCCTTAACAGGAGGGACAGACAGGTACATCTTTGTGAGGTCAAGGCCAGTCTTGTCTACAGAGTCCCACGCTCGCACAGCTACGTATTGAAGCCTGTGTCACCACCACCGACAAAAGTAACCGTAAACCTTGTTCTTTTGTTTTTTTGAGACAGGATTTCACCAGTTGCCCAGGTTGGCTTTGAAAACTCCCAGTCCTCGTGCCCTAGCCTATCCCACCTGCTGAGTGTATAAGCTTGTACCACTGCACCTGACCCTTCAATTCCGTTTATGCAAGATCTGTTGAGGTTTTCTTGCCTGTGATTAGCAGTGATTGCTCAGTATCCCGGGTTTCATACCCGTGCCTTGTAATCTCGTGCTTTTTACCAGCTTATAAATATGTGACACCACCAGTTCACAATTGATAAAAAAAAGTGCATTTATCTACTTTTGTGAAGGCATGCATGCATGCATGCGTGTGCCGTGGCACACATGGAGGTTAGAGGCAACTTGTTCTGGTTGTTTCTCTCTTGTCCATAGGTCCTGAGTATTGAACTCTGTTCGTTAGCCTTTGCTGCAGCTGTCTAGGCTCTGAGCCGCCTCACTGATCAATCCCACGCTGACTATTTTTAGGGATGCACTGTCAGTATCTTCTCTTAAGGCCAAGAGCTTCTTATCGAAGCGAAATAACTTATCACTGCTTCCTACTCAGTCCTTCCTCGGTTAAAGAGCATCTGGAATGTGTGTGAGGAGGCAGGTCTGCCCGGCCAGGAGAGTGGTAATTTGCCGTTAAAAGCTCAGCTCAGTCTGCTTTTTCCTCCTCAAGCAGCTTTCCTGCTGGTATACACAGAGCAGTTACTTATTCAGTGTGGGCCAGGCTTTGATTTTGTTTATATTTTTTGAGACAAGGTCTTGTGTAGCCCAGGCTAGACACAAACTTCTCTAAGGCTCCTTCAATTCCAGATCCTCTTGCTTCCACCTCCCAAGTGCTGGGATTCCAGGTGTGTGCTACCAAGCCCCATCAAGGTTCAAATTTCCTGCTCTCAAGGCTTTATAAACACCTTTTTCTACTACTACTTCTTCTTTTTCGTCTTCTAAAGTGGAATCTTAAAACTTTGTGCTAGGAAGCGAGAAAGGTGTGGTCTGCGTTTATAAATAAGACTTCCGAGCAGGGTGATTGGCTTGGGAGAATGAGATAGCTTTCTGCTAGCAGTTTGTCAAGGGGCTGTCTTGAGTTTTACTCCCGTACTTTAGTGAATTCACAAAGGTTCCCTAAACCAGACTGCTTAAACAGCCCCATTGCCCTTTTCCTTCTCGCTGCCCCACCCTGTCTGAGAAAAATGGGTAAAAGTGTTCTGCTGTGTCATGTGAGGAACAGCATGGTTTTCTAACTGTGGTAGGAAAAGGAAGTAACTGTGGGATCCAGCTCACCATGACTGTCCCTAGTTACCTCTGGGGTCAAGGATGACTCTGCGTGATGATTGTCGTTCATTCCTGCAGGTGTTGGATGACTTGAACTGAGCGTTTGTAACCAATGTCTTTTTAATTTTTTCCCCTAGGTGAATGTTGGATGTGTACCCAAAAAGGTAAATTTTAAATTTCTCCTTTAATAAGGGTGTTTGCGAGCATTCCAGTCACCCGTTGTTCCTGTTTGTGTTCTGTTGCTGTGACTTGAAGAGGAAAGGGTTTATTTCAGATTACGGCTCACAGTTCCTGGAACTGAATAAAAAGGGACAGAGCTTACAAAAATATAAAGCTTAAAACAGGAATAAAAGCAATAGTAAAGAAAATGCATCAGCAATAATAAAAACTGTAAAGGAACAGCTATGAGGCTGGTAATATTCTACTTTTTATCGTATTTGTAGGCTAGTAATTTAAAGCTGGGTGTTGTTTTTGCCAGTAGTTCAGAATCCTCACTATAAAATCCATCTAGTCAGATGAATGTTCTCTCTTAATCCGTTTAGTTGTTACTTTCATTATGTCTCACTCATCCCTTCTGTCTGTCTTCAGCACTCAAGCATGACCGCTTCTGATACTTTTTTATAGGTCATGTGGAACACGGCTGTCCACTCGGAATTCATGCATGATCATGTGGATTACGGCTTCCAGAGTTGTGAGAGTAAATTCAATTGGCAGTAAGTGTTAGTGCTTGAAGGGGTTCCTGTACAGGTGTGGCTGTTTTGGAACCTAGTCACACTTTGAGGGATGGGGGCTATTGTGTCCAGGTGTGTACAGGGCTGAGGCTATAGCTGGGTTTCCAGTTCTTGCCTCGACTATGTCTGGGCCTGGGATCAGTCCCCATAACCATAAGTGTGTTTGTGTATGTGTGTCTGTGTTTATGTACAACATAAAATTTACCATTTTAATCATTGTAAATCAGAGTTTGGCTTTAAGTACAAGCACACGATTGTATGGACGTCGACACCCTCCCGTTTCCAGAGCTTTCCCATATTCCTGAACAATTATTGTTAATCACAAGACTGTCACATTACTCAACACACGCTTCTGTGTAAACATTAAATAATAGCTCCTCCTTCCCTACTTCCCTGCCAGCTCAAGAAACATGTTCTGCTTCCTGTTAAGTTGACCCAACCTGTGCTGTGTACTTCACAGAATCATACAGTCCCCTTTCATGCCTCACTTGTATTGTTGAAAGTCATATTCTTAAGTCTGACTGGCTGTAGCTGGCATCCATAGTTCGTGCTCCTTTGTACAGCGTTTCCGTGTGCTGATCCGGTGATCTGTGCAAACACTGTGGGTTGGTTGTTTTGTGGCTGTCATGAGTGATGCCTCCCTGAGGACGGTCATCTCCTAGAGACCGGGCCCTCAGTTCTTCCAGGCCTGTACCTAGAAGCACGTTCTGGGTAATAGGACAGTCCTGCGTGGAGCTCTCTAATTGGTGCTGACTTTTGGAGCTGTCAGTTTTTGAAAGAATTTTAGCAAATCCGTTCATTTAAAGTCCATCATGTACCAGGCCATACCAGCTCTCCTGGTATTTTTTTTTCCTTTTTAAAATGCTACATTTATTTATTTTGTGTGTGTGGCACATGCATGCATACGGCAGCCCGTGGGGCATGCCCATGTGGGAAAGTCAGAAAACAACTGGTGGGATTGGTTCTGTCCTTCCATCTTATAGGTCATGGGCGTTGAACTCAGGTAGTCAGGTTGGCAGCATGTGGCCTTTGTTTTTGTTTTGCCAGACAGGGTTTCTCTGTGTGGCCTTGGCTGTCCTGAGACTCACTCCATAGACCAGGTTGGCCTTGAACTCAGAGGTCCACCTGCCTCTGCCTCCCCAGTGCTGGCATTAAAAAGCATGTGTTGCCATCTCCCCAGCCCATCTCCTGATTTTCTGTACAGAAAGAAGTGTGTGTATTGCAGATGCCATCGGAGCATGCTCCAAATTGGAGCAGGACATCAGCATGGAAGCCGCTGACATGGGCCAGTGGAGCACACTGTCTTCAGACAGTTGCTTGCTTCGTTCTTGCTGAGAGTCAGGAGTGTTGGAGGCCAGTGTCCTGGCTACTAAGTGAAGAAAGAAAATACTGTTTCCGAGTACTCACTTAGGTCTCTTTACAGTGTCATCAAGGAGAAGCGGGATGCTTACGTGAGCCGCCTGAACACCATCTATCAAAACAATTTAACCAAGGTGTGTGTGCCGCCCTCTGAACTCGGTGACAGAGCCACTTGACAGTGGAGGAGGCACCAGACCTAACCAGACAAAAATGTAGCCGTTGGATAGGTCTTATTATTTCTATATATTTTTCTATTAATAGTTTTGAAGTGGGCTTTACTGATCCAGTAAGCCAGTCTCTTTTCTACAAAGAGTAGACAGAATATGCCAAGTCCGTAGACCAGGTCTCAGTCGATGTGTGCATCTTGAGTAGATCTGTCCTCCAGGCTAATCAGAAACTAAAACCGGGCTGGATGGAATTACAGAGCGGTTTGCCGGTCACAGCCAGGAGCACAAGTGTTGATCATTTGCTTAGAGCAGCTTCTTACAGAGCAAACACTGCTTCCTAAACTTAAATTTGTAAGTAAATTCTTATCAAGAAAATTAGACAGAGGTGTGTTTGCCTGCAGCAAATGTTTGTTCTCCGCCCCTCTCCTGATGCCTTTTTTAAATGAAAGACTTATTTTCACTTACGTGTATGTGTACGTGTGCAGGTGCCCATAGAGGCCAAGAAGGTGTCGGATGCCAGGGAGCTACAGTCGCAGGCAGTTTCAAGCCACGTGACATAGAGGCTAAGAGCCAAATCTGGGTCTTCTGGAAGAGCAGCAAGCTGTCCTAACCACTAAGCCATCTCCCCAGCATCCCTGCCCTTTTGTAGAATGGAGCTCTGGCTAGCCTGGAACTCACTGTGTAGACCAGACTGATCCTCATGTCTACCTCTGCCTCTTGAGTGCTGGGATTACAGGCATGTGCCACCATGTCCAGCTCCTAGTGGAATTTTTTTAAATGGTGCTAACTAACTCTTAAGAAAAAGATGGACATAAGCGATGGCTCTGCTTTTCTGGAGGATGCAAGTTCAAATTCCAGCCCCCACGTAGTGACTGACAACTGTAATTTCAGTCTCAGGGGATTTGATGCTGTCTTTTGGCCTCTGCAGACGCTACGTGGATGTGGTGCGCGTGCAGATGGCAACACCCATGCACATAACATAAAAAGAAATTACTTTTCAAAAAGCTAGGAAAGTGGCCGAGAAATAGCATTTTAGAAAACGTGGGCTTGGCGTGCGGTACAGCTTACCCTGACCTTGCAGTGATACAGAAAGAACCCTTGATGCCAAGTCCCAGGCAGGGCAGCCCTTTCTCCAAACTATCATCCACGCTGTCACCACCCAGCCCTTTTTGTCCCATGGCCAACTCACTGCCCCCAAGAAAGGCTTTTAGGGGTGCTTGTAGGTTGGCATTAATTGAGATTCAGTTATTTAAGCCAGGCGCCTGCAGGAACAGGCCTGGAGGGCAGGTTGGGAGGAAGGAAGGAATTCAGAACCAGACGTGCTGAAGAATGTTGACTCACCCTTTTCGGGTGCATACTTACGTGGCTCCTGTAGCTTTTAATAGTCTACCTTCGTGTGCCAGGCCATAGGTCACAGCTGGCTGGAGCTTGCTGGCGGCCCTCAGATTGACCCCTCGTCAGGATTCTACTCAGCATCACTGTCCTCAGAGTTTCCATAGGAGACAATCACTTAGAGTTTGTTTTTGTTTTATTTATTTTTTTTAACTTCCTACCAAAAAAAGAAAAGAAAATGTATTTCTCTGGTGTCTATTCCTAGCTTTTATGTCCCTGTCCTCCTTATCTCCCTCTCCTCTGGCATATCATGTTTTACTGTTTTTTCATTGTAAGGAAGACTTTCACCTTCAAACCATGGAGTCAGACACAGTGTCTTTTTCCTTGGGATGCCTGGCATGGTTTCTATTTATTTGGTTCTGACTCCCGGTCGCACCGAGCTTTCTCCTTGTAGTCCACACCAGCCCTAACTGGCAACAAGTTTTCCTGCGTATCCATTACCAGCCAGGAGGTGTAAGAATGGGGCAATAGAATCTATCTTTCAATTTACAAACCCCAAATCAAAACCTTGAGTGGAGTGGTTTGCAGTGGCACTCACCTGTAAGCCCAGCTGAGGCAGGAGGATTGCCGTTCTGAGGGAAACTACAAGCCAGGTGTAGTGCTGAACTTTGTAACCCTAACGCTTGGCAGTTGAGCAGAAGAATCAGCACTTTGAGATCATGCATGAGTACGTAATTGGGTTGGAAGCCAGCCTAGGCTGTTTTCTGGTGAAGAAATTAGGAGTTGATGTATTGTGCAGATAGGTGTTTTTTGAGACGATTTGCTGTAGCTCAGACTGCCTGGGAACTTGTTATATAGCCAAGAAGGACCCTGAGTACCTGATCCCAAATGCTGGGTTTTAGGAAGGCACCACCACTCCCAACTCAGTGTTCTTCGTTTGTTTGCTTTTTAAGTTTTAAGAATATGCTAACGTCCGTGTTCCTTCTCCAGTCCAACATAGAGATCATCCGTGGCTATGCAACATTTGCAGATGGCCCTCGGCCCACAGTGGAAGTCAATGGGAAAAAGTACACCGCTCCTCACATCCTGATTGCCACAGGCGGTGTGCCCACAGTTCCTCATGAGAGCCAGATCCCAGGTGGGTCTTCCAAAGGCCAGCACGGTCAGGGGGCCTACAAGTCACAGCGTGGGATCTGCCTACGCTCGTTCTGTCTTGAGAAAGGTCAGAAAAGAAGGTCCCCAGAGCCTAAATCTAAAACTAAGTGTTAATGGACAGTGAGGCAAAGAAAGCTGTTTCATCCAGCTCAGGACTCAGCAAGAAAACCGTGGGGGAATTACCTTTTCTGTCTTGGTGTGGCATGGGGGTGCTGCCAGCCTGGAGTTGTCAGACAAGTTATTTCTAAGACTCAGCATACAATAACTGTTCAGGACGAATTAGCTCTCCCTCGTACCATGTTTTTGCATCTTATATAGCAAGGTGTAAAAGATGAAACTAGCCAGGAATCGCAGAAGTGGTCCCACCGGCCATGTGTCTGTATATTGGGCTAAGTGCTAGGGTTGAGTCATGAACAGGCTGCCGTGTTCACTCTCAGAAAGCGTTAGTCACTCTTCCTCCCACATGATATTGTAAGTCTTGGATAGTGAGTGTCTTAATGTTTTATTGCTGTGGTAAAAGACTCTAGACAAAAGCCACTTAAGCAAGAAAGGATTTTTTCCGGGCCACAGTTGAGATTGCAATCTGTCATGCAGGGAGGTCACAAGGGCAGGAACCTGAGGGAGCTCGCCGCAGCACATCACAGTAATGAAACAGAACACTGAATGCATGCTTGCGATTGCCCAGTTCTTTCTCCACACATCCAGGGGGATCCCAGCTAGGGGATGGCACTGCCCACGGTAGGTGGGTCTTCCCGGTCAGCTCATCCCTCTCGGTCATGCCCAGAGGCCTTGTCTCCCATGAGATTCTACTTCTTTCATATCAACAACTGACAAAAGCTGCAGCCGTGGACATACTTTATATATCTCTTTGCTTTTCATGGCCTGGCTCTATAGCTTGTGACAGTTTTGAATGCTTATGGAGCACTTTGGGTGTGTGCATTTATGCTTTAAGCAGATCTTGCTCTGTTTGTTTTGATTTTGAGAGATAGTCTCGTGTAACTCAGGCTGGCTTTGAACTTGCTGTGTAGTAAACAGTGACCTCAAATTTCTGATGCTTCTGCCTCTACTGGAATTATAGGCATGTGCCACCATGCTGGCTGATATTTTTCTTTTATTGTAGTTATTTTCTTTCTTTTTTCCTCCCCTTTGAAATTTTAAGCAGGGCTTATAGCCCCCAAAGCTAAAGAACAACCACTGTAAAAGACACAAAGATAGCATTCTCAAGTAGCATAATATTAACTTGGGAATATTGGGTGTTGCCTAACCTTTGATAGAACCAGTCTCCATTATTCATTGTTCAGTGGAAGAAGAAAAAAGAAAAGAGAAGGCCTGGAGAGATGGCTCAGTGAGTCAGAACACTGACCATTCTTTAGAGGACCCAGATTTGGTTTCCACCACCCCCATCGTGGTTCAGAAATAACTGCAACTTCCATTCCAGAGAATTGAACACCTTCCTCAGGCCTCACAGGCGCCAGGCACCTACATGGTTGTCTGTATGCTGGAGAGACTGAGCACCCAGCAGCTGCTCAATCCCCAGGGATGGATGCTGTGGCTGTCCCATTCTGGCACTACAGGCCTAGGGGATTCTTGGAGAGCCCCTGGTCTTCTGCCCATGCTGGGGGGCTGAAGCACCTATGTTCCCAAGTCAAAAAAGGGTGACAACAGCAGAGCAACAGGGTAGATGCACTCACCAGCAAGGAGTGTGGGTGAGGGCAAAAGTTCCTCTTCTCTGCCCCCAGACCTCATTATAGCTACGCCTCCACCACTAGGAAGTGCTGCTTTCCCTCCATCCTGGGAGGTGTAGCTTCAGTTTCAGACAGTCTGTTAAGTGAAGAACAAAGAGCAAGAAGCAGATAAACAGACACAGCAGAGATAAAAACATCAGATTGGATGCCTGCAACACCTTGCAGAAACCGTTAAGAATATTCTAATTAGGAGAGCAAGCAAAAGTAATATTGTCGTATCAGGCACTTACAACATCCTGCAGAAAAGGCTGCAGAAGCGCACGCCCACCCCCCTTCCCCCCCCCCCCCCCCACCAGCTGTTCTGGTGCTCCCAGTGGGAGGTCTCAGGCAGAGCTGCTGGCTTCTTCCTGCTTGCAGGGATTTCTAATGCTGTGGGATCAACAGTAAATAGTAACCTCTTGGAAGTGGCCTGTCTTCTATTTTCAGTGCAGAGTTTTGAAGAAACTGAGGTCATGAGGCTCTTATCTTGTTTTCTTGGAGTTTTCTCACAAGCACTCAGAATTCTCACAGGACGCCATTGATGGACTGTGTTCTGATGGTCAGGAGGATCCGTAGAGACAGACATGAGCCAGGGAGACTCCTAAGAAAGGGACCCTTGGTCAGAAAGTGCTGAGAGAAAGAACAATTGGTAAAAAATAAAGACATCTTTGAAGGATTTTTAACCAGTTCAGTCAGTTTGACAAGCACTAAACTTCTTGAAGCAAGTGTTTTGATCTGTAACCAGCATTAGGTTATGATAGAACTATGGACACTCATCAAGCCAAAGAGAGGTAGCTTTGGTAACTGCAGCAAGTTGTTACTGGCTTCTAAGCAGTAACAAGATCTGTGTGGTGTCCAGAAACTGAGCTGACAGTGACTGGATGGGGAGAGAATTTCAAGGCTGGAAGGGTGTTGGAAGAGTCTGCAGTCTCTCAACCCAGTTCTGCAGGCACTTGCTGGGCCTTACTTGGTCCAGGGGGAAAGGCTGACGACAGCCCCTGACAGGTCGGTCGGAAGCTGTATGTCGCCGGTTTAAAGACACATTTCAGAACATACTCTTCATTGCTGAGACCAGCCGGTGTGTACCACGTGCTAATGGCGCTTACATTTGGTAAGGTGTGGTATACCCATTAATGGATGAGATAGGGAGGCAGGTATGAGAGAAAGAACCACAGGTGGACAACTCAAGGCCCCATCTCAAAGGAAGGAGCTCCAAGCGGGAACCTGGAGGCGGGCACTGGAGCGGAGGCCATGGAGAAACTGCTTACCAGCTTGTCTCCCATGGCTTGTTCAGCCTGACCAGCTCTTGCACAACCTGGGGCCACCTCTCCACACTAAACAAGAAAATGCTCCCATAGACATATTCCTGGTTCTGAAAGCATTCTGCAGTTTGAAATTCTGGCCTCAAGCGTTGCGGAAAAGGGACATACGCGGAAAGAAACATGGTGAAGCAAGACCAAGGTGAACATGGAACTGGGATATTTGAGGAGGAAATGAACAGTACAACTCTAGTCTTGAAGGAAAGAAAAGGCGGAAGCCAGCTGTGGTAGTGCACACCTTTAATCCCAGCACTTGGGAGGTAGAGGCAGGCAGATCTCTTGTGAGTTTGAGGTCAGTCTGGTTTACAGAGTGAGTTCCAGGACAGCCAGGGCTATGTAGAGAGACCCTGTCTCAAAAATAGGGTGAAGGAAGAGAAGGGGACCAAGATCTCGCTGCTGGCTTTCTGTTTTTGCTGGGGTCAGGGGCAAAGCAAAGCTGACAGTTGACAGGACCTTGGCCCTTTGGGGAAATCTAAATAATGCTTATCCATCACTGTTGCTATTTCTTGAGATAAATGTAAAATGTAGACTCCAGGAAGCCGTGTTCTCAGTGGACATCTAGCAAGGCTGTCAAAACAGTATGTTCATTGGCTGAAGAGCGTTTGGTTCTTGAATAAATTGTGTCCAGGCTAGGAATGGCAGCTTATACCCAAGGTCCCTAGTGCTCAGGAGAGTGAGTCAGGAAGATTGCCATAAGTTTGAGGCCAGCCTGGGCGATGTAGTAAGTCCCAGGTCAGCCTAGATTACAATGTGAAACCCTTGCTAAAAAATAAAGTTAAATATATGTTCATCTAATCACTATGTGGTGTTTTCCTACATAGGGGCCAGCCTGGGAATAACCAGTGATGGGTTTTTTCAGCTGGAAGACCTGCCTAGGTGAGCAGCTGTGCCTTGGGGATTCATGTCTCTCTCTCCTGGAACCGGGGTCTGTCTGTTCTGCCCTGTCTCCCTGCCTCCCTCATCTTTCCGTGTTGCCCCCACTATCTTGAACTCTTAGGAGCAGTTCGCTCACCTGCCTCAGGGTGATCCACTCCAAAAGTGCTTAGGCTTCACAGATATGACGCAAGTGGGTGTGCATCCACAAAGTCATGACTCAGCTGTGCTTGGGTGATACGTGTCCTTTCAGGCCCACCCCCCAGCAAGCTTTATTACAGATATTTGCCCATTACGTATTTTAGAACGGCTTAATAAGCTTTTATTGACGTGAATATGAGCTTAATGAATGAATTTATTCGTGCTGTTAAAAAAAGGCTGTGGGAACAGAAGGAGACCCACAGCTGAGGTGGGCGTCGGTCGTGCCTTCGCCAGCATTCACAGCTGCTGCGAAGGCTGGAATCTAGGCATTCCAGGCTCTGATGGGTAACCTGTAGCAGCCCTTGTCTCCAAGAAAAAGAACATCCAATGTGGCACTGTGCTCCGGGTGCACTTGGAAGGCTGAGGCAGAAGTATGGCTTTGCTAGATAGTGAGTTTAAGCCAACCTGGGCTACATAGATCTTCTCTCCCTCCAAAGCTATTTCTTAGGTGGCGTTTTTTTTTTTTTTTTTTCATTCCTTCTCCTCTTGTAAGATTTTTTTTTTTAAATCATAAGTTATAGTCCTGAACAAATCCTAGATGTGAGCTACTAGTGCTGTATGCCGTGTGATTCCCCTTTCGTCCTTAGAGGGTACGGAGGCTGCAGTAGTGGCTATCAAGGCATTTTTTGATAAAAAGAGGTTGCTTTGGAAATGTAGAAGTATAAAAAATCATTTTCTTTTTTCTGTCTTTTTTTTTTTTTTTCCAGACAGGGTTTCTCTGTATAGTCCTGGCTGTCCTAGACTCACTTTGTAGGCCAGGCTGGCCTCTAACTCACAGATAGATGCCTCTGCCCCCTAGAATGCTGCCTCTACCCCCTAGAATGCTGGGATTACAGGCGTGCGCCGCTCCACCTGGCTGAAAATTCATTTTTCAGTGTATACTGCAGTGACAGGAGGCGGGATGACAGTGCCAGGGGAGCTAAGGGGAACTCTCAGAAAAAGGCCTGTGATGGCAGCCTGTCCCTTTCTCCCCCCCCCCCCCCGCAACCCCTGCAAAAAAAATACCCCTCTTTTAGGAATCCATAGCCATTTCCAAGCTCTCATAGACTGGCATGTACTCCTCTTTGACCAACTTCAGGGTATGTTTATTTCTTTAGAAACTCTTCATGGGCCAGGCTTTATTGCATGTGGATTTATAATCCCAGCTACTCTGAAGGCTGAAGCTGTAAAGTTGGAAATTCAGGGTCCCCTGAGCTCTTGAACAGAGTTAAAGCCAGCCGTGGCCACTTGGCAAGGCCAGTCTTTAAATAATTTTCTCTTTAAGTTGGAGATTTAAACAACAACAACAAAAACAGCTCAGTGGCAGAGGTTTGTCTGGGATGGAAAGGGCCCTGGGTCAGACCCTATCAGCATCAGCCAAAAAAAAGATTCTTTGAAAGCAGAAACCGTTACCTTTCCTGTCTAGTGTAGAACCCCTTACAATGTAGGGCTTTGATGTACAGAAAAGAAAGAAAGGGTGGAGAAAGGAAAGGAGAGAAGCAAAAGTGGGGGAGACTTATGGCAAAGAAGAGGTCAACATAGGAATGAGGGACAGAGATGCAGGAGGAGCTGTGTCATAGGTTTTGAAGACTATGGAAGCTTCTGGGGTCCGTTTGAGTACTTTATCCTCCAGCCAGGCCAGCAGCCTCCCCGCTTCTGTGGGGAGTACTGGAAGGCGCTTCCTTGTTCTTCCCCTAAGAACTTGCCTATGGACTGCAACAGTGGGAGGGGCCTGCTTGGAGCCTTGGAAAACCTGTAGCTGGGAAATACTGAGACTGCTAATCTCTATGCCTCAGCCTGGAAGTAAGCCTTAAGCGACATTGTTTCTCCAGCTTTGATCCAGACATTCATTCAAGGGTGTCCCTGGGGCTTAAGCTCTTTTGTTAAACCAAAAAAAATGTTCAGGAAGTTGAGTTCAGCTGCTGCCTGGGCCACCCAAATGCCAGGATTACTGGCATGAGCAGACTCCATGCCTGACTTTAAATGGCTTTCTTAAATTGGCCTTTGATCATGCTACAAGGATTAGTAGAACTGAATAATGATCAAGGAGAAATACCCAGCGCTGAAAATAATGGTGCTGTTAGATTTACGTATGGAAATTGGGAGGAGTTCAGGACTAGGCTCAGATACATACTGGCCACCAGGGATACAGGGACTCCCTCTAAAAAAATAAATAAATGGAAATAGGATATGAGGAACTTAATTGTCAAATAAAAATGTCTTTCTTCTCTGAGGGAAAATTTTGTTTTGATCTGTTTGAAAGTAGGGTCTGGCTGTGTAGCTTCGGGTGGCCTGGAACTCAGCCCAGGCTGCCTCTGCTTCTGAATGCTGCAGTTGCAGGGGCCACCATGTTGCTCACAGGATGTCAGCTGTTGGGGAAACCGAGCAAAGAGCTTGAGGAAAACATGCCAGTCTGTACACCTAAAGCCATTGCAAAGCCAGTTTAAGAAACGGTCACCCTTTGCTTTCATCGCAGCCGCAGCGTCATTGTGGGTGCTGGTTACATTGCCGTGGAGATAGCTGGCATCCTATCCGCTCTGGGCTCCCAGACATCTCTTATGATAAGGCATGATAAGGTAAGTCCTGTCTCCTCTTGTCCCTATTCTTTGATTTTTTTGTTGTTGTTGTTGTTTTCTAATTAGAGAATTTTTTTCTTCTTAAAACAAACAAACAAACAACAAAAACTAGATATCACCAAATTTTTAAATATATTACTATGCGTATATGGTATGTGAGTGGGCATGCTGCCTTGTGGAGGTCGGAAGACAACTTTTGAGAGTAGTTTTTCCTTCGAGTTGTGGGTTCTGGGCAAACGTAACACAAGTACTTATACCTGTTAAGTTTCACGTTTATGTCTTTCACATCCTGCTAAGTCAGCCTAGCACACATCCCTTAGGGAGCTCACCTTCATCGGGATGGCTTTCGAGACCTAATATATCTTCCTTTATAAACATAATCAAGGCTTCAGTAGAAGCAGATGGGGTATTAGCTCCTTTCTGTTGCTGTGTGATACGCCGTCATGACCAAAGGCACCTTATATAAAGAGTTTGTTTTGGCTTATGGTTCCAGAGGGTTAAGAGTCCATTGTGGCAGCAAATGGCAGGCGAGGTTGCCAAAGCAGGAAGCTGAAGGTTCAGCCACAGACAGGAAGCAGAAAGAGTGAACCGGAAGCGTCAGGAAGCTTTACTTTCTCAAAGCTGGTCCCCAGCATGGCCAGCTTTTGTAATCAAACATTCTAACCCAGTACAATCCAAAGGTACGAAGATTTGACCCTCACGTACTGAGGAGTGCTGTGTAGTGAGGTGTAAATATGTAACTGAACTGCACATTTGTGTAAGAGCTGTAAGCTTTGTGTGTGCAACCTAGCACACACGTGTGCTGTTCAGATTCACAGTACAGTGAAGTTGCGGTGTACAGCCAAGGTTCAGTGTACATTTGGTTCTGAATTAAGTTCGGGTCACTTAAGTGTGTGGCCCCTATGCTCACTTCTAGTTTAAAATGCTGGATCTAGCAGCTGTTCCTCACGGGATATTTGAGAGAGCTTTCCCCAGAGAGAAAGCCAGCCCCACTCGCTACACAAGAATTTCCCTAGACTCTGGAAAAAAAGAACCAAGAAGGAAGGAGAGAGACATGAACATGGTAGAGTCTGACCGCAGTCGGACTGTTCATGTCTCAGAACTCTAGAACATGCTGGTGAAACCAATGGAGTGCAGATAGCGGTAGTGACGCGGGCAAAGGAGGTCTGCTAAGCTGCTCAGGGTGAGCATGAGGGAGGGAGGCTGTAAGAGGACAAGTAGTCCAACGCCGGAACTGCGGCACTTCAATGGAGTTCCATCTCTTTCCCAGCCTCCATCCCTCTGCTACCCATGTCTCAATGCAGGTACTGAGAAGCTTTGACTCCCTCATCAGTTCCAACTGTACTGAGGAGCTGGAGAATGCTGGCGTGGAGGTGCTCAAGTTCTCACAGGTGCGTGGTCAGGCCCTGAGGCAGGTGAATCGCTCGCTTTCAGGGCTGACTGTAGAGTGCATGACCCTGTGTGTGAGTAGCTCTGCGAACGCTTACCTCCTTTAAGGCAGCGTAGCCCGCTTCCACTCCATGTTTCTATGCTTCCCCTCTCTTCTTTAATGTGTGTGGATGTTTTGCCCTCACGTATGTTTGGGGGCTGTGTGCTTGCCCGGTGACCAGGAAGACTGGAAGAGAGAATTGGCTCTCGTGGTATAGGAGCTGCAGCTGTTTGAGAGCGGCCATGTGGGCTCAGGGAGTTGACTTTGAGTCCTCTGTGGGCAACCAGTGCTCCTAACCTCTGAGCGTCTCTAGCAATGGATCCCCCTCCATTTGTATATGTTTGTGTTTTGTGGTGAATGGTTGCTTTTTGTTTTTTGTTTTTAAATGGTCATGCTGTGGGATCTTGCTCTTTGGTCCAATCTAGACTTGAACTCAAGCCTCCTGCCTCAGCCTCCCAGGCTGGTAGCTGTGCACTGCCACACCCAGCTTCTGCCAATTGTTTTCTTTCTTAAAAAGCTGTATTTCATATTCATGAAGTCAAGGTGTAAAAGACCAGAAAGCTGGCGGTTAAATCTAGAACTGAAACCTCCTTTTATTCACTTTACCTTTCAGTCTTAGCTCCTTCCCTCCTCTCCTCCCGGTCCCACCCTCCTTCCCTCTTTCCCGTATCCCTTCTAAACTGAAACTTTCTAATGTTTGTTCTCATGTATCTTTTTATATATCCTTATTTTTCAAGAAATAGCAAGCAATCAAAATTTCAAGCATATGGTTTTTTTTAAAGTATTTTATCTAATTTACCTAAAGCATTACAGAGTACTTTATTCCTCAGGAAATTATTTAACTTTCAGTAGAGTTTTTCTAGAGAATTAGGCTGATAAGCATGACTGTCTCCCTCTTCTGGTCTTTGTTACACTTTCAGCATCACCCATATTGAGAAGAATAGCAAATGACAATGTGTTTCAGGAATGTGAAAGAGAAGGGGTTCCCATCAGCATCACCTTGGAGACCTTCATTCACTGATGAGCTGGGCATGCATATGGTTGGTTTCTACAAATGCATATCCACCAACAGCTGGGTTGTAGATATTTTAAATAAAAGGATGTCTGTACTGATGTGCACAGGCTTTTCTTTCTGTTCACTATTCTGTTAATGATATAGTCTAACAAACAGCTGTTAATGTGACATTTATGTTGTTTGACATTGTAAGCAACCTGAAGTTGCTCTAAAATATTCAGGGCGTGGTTGGGTTATATGTGAACGGCAGCTCCCAGCTGTCTGTAACCTCAGTGCCAAGAGACATGAAGCCCTCTTCTGCCCTCTGGCCATGGCATACAGGTAGTGCATAGACATACATGAAAGCAACACAAATACACGTGGACACAAGTGCAAGTATCCTTGAAAGGGAAACCAGAGGTGATGGATCCCTCTGAAGCTGGACTTACAGGCAGTTATGAGCTGCCCAATAAAGGTGCTTGGAACCAAACTGCAGCCCCAGAAATGTGTGTGTGTGTGTGTGTGTGTGTGTGTGTGTGTGTGTGTGTGTATGAATGAATATATATATATATATATATATATATATATATATATATATATATATCCATAGCGTTTCTGTGGTTACTGTTCTGTTGCTGTTAAGAGACACTGTGACCAACTTATAAAAAGAAAGCATTTAAATCATTTGGGGCTTGCTTACAGTTTCAGGGAGTAAGTCCATGACCATCATGACAGGGATCATGGGAGCAGGTAGGCAAATATGGTGATGGAGCAGTAGTTAAAAGCTCACATCTTACCCACAAGCAGCAGGGAGAGAGACAGACAGGCGGGCTGGCCAGCTAGGGCTAGCTGACTAGCTGGCCTGGCTTGGGCTTTTGAAAACTCAAAGCCCATTCCCAGTGAGATACACCCCCTCTGACAGGGCCACACCTCCTGATCCTTTCTGAAACAGTTCCACCAAATAGGGACCATGTTGGAAGCCAGGCCAAACCAAGGCTTTTCCTGAGGCCCTGATGTATGAAAAAGGGTAGTTCCTTGTTTAGAACCTAGAATATGCTTGTCAAAGCCAGTAGTGGCCTGAAGCCAGGGCCTTGGGGTAGCTGTGGTTTCCAGTCCTGGGAACCCAACTCTTCAGCTTTACAGGGTTATCAGTCCCACTGTGCTCAGTCTGTGACGTACTTGAGAGAGTCTTGTTTTTTGGGTGCAGAATTGCTTGATGAGAGTCCTGCTGACCTTGTCTTATTTCTCCCTGCAAATAGTACATAATTCTTAATACGCTTGCTGTGGTGAACCATTAACTCAAACATGCTTCCGATCCAAGCATTCTGTGTTATTTTCTTCATCCCATCCTCTGCTTTGATACCTTGTTCAGGCTTCTTATTCCCTCGGGCTCAGGTCAGGACCAAGCATAAGCCTACATTTTCATTCAATCCACCACATATAACAATGTAAGCCAGCATTGCTCGTCATTGGAAGAATCAAACAAAGAATAAAGGAAGCAGGCCTGAGACTGGGGAGTCCATGGCCTTTGGCTAAAATTAAATACTGGTTTCAGCTATAAGTGACTATTAAAAATTCTAGCTGGATATAATGGGCCACCCAAACTTGGGAGTCTAGTGCAGAAAAATTGATAAGAATTTGAGGTCAGTCTGGACTGTAGATTGAGATCCTTTCTCAAAAAAAAAAAAAAAAAAAAAAATCTGGTTTTACTAATGGCTTTGGTATAAACTTTCTACCTATTTAGTAAGTTGAGACAGGAGGATCATGAGTTCAAGGCTTATCTGAACTACAGAGTAAGTTTAAGGACAGCCAGGGCAATTTAGTGAGATCCCATCCCAAAATAAGTAAAAAGAGGGCTGGGGTGTAGCTCAGTGGTTGAGTGCCTGCCCAGCGTGAGTGGGGTCCTGGGCTCAGTCCCCAGCACTGGGGAAAAGTCTGATTTCCTCTTGCTTTGCTTCCATAAAACCTTCGCCACTCTTCTCTCACACATATTTCACACTTCTTTTTTATACAACAGGTTAAGGAAGTAAAAAAGACATCATCCGGCTTGGAACTCTTTGTGGTTACTGCGGTTCCTGGCAGAAAACCCACCACCACCGTGATTTCAGATGTTGACTGCCTGCTCTGGGCCATTGGGCGGGACCCGAACTCTAAGGGCCTGAATCTGCATAAAGTGGTAAGCTGACCTGGTCCTATCTCCAAATAGCCCTGTGACTTTCTGCACACCCATCTGCATGCTCTGTCATGGAGCTGCTATTTGTTTGTGTGTCTTTTGAAGCAGAATCTTTTGTAGTCCAGGCTAGCCTCGTTCTTAAATAAGAACTGAGAATGATCTTGAACATCTGATCCTCCTGTTTCCACCTTTCAAGTGCTGGACTCCACTCATGAGACCACGTGCCTGGAGCCTTCAACATTTTAGTAATAAAATATTCAGGAAGAAGTTTGGCTTGTTTTCATTCTTGAATGAAATTTAATTAAAACCCACTATTCTCATATTAATAAAACTAGGCCCTGAGCCTTTCATTTTCAATACATAACCAAAATATGCAGATGGAATGTTTGTGGGTCCACTGTTCAAATGTATTTGCTGAAGGTTTGTGTGTGTGTGTTTGTATGTGTTTATTTGTGAGAGTATGTGTATGTCTGTGGAGGCCAGAGAACAGCTTGCAGAATTCCATTCTTTCCCTCCACCATATGGGTCCTGAGGACTGAACTCAGGTCGTCAGACTTGTCAGCAAGAACCTTTACCCACTGAGCATTCCTGTCAGCTCTATGAGATGAATCTACCTCTTTCTCCCTCCTACTCTTTTATTTGCTAAACTTGAAAAATAATTTTTTGGCAAACTAACTAATGGCTTCTTAGTAGCATTTTCTGTGTTTCTGTGATTGTACTGTATTCTAATCCATGCCCCTCCAACCTTCCTCAGCCCTCCTATTTTTCTCTTTCAGTTCCCATTCTTATTTGTTGAATCTGTGTGTACAGTGTGTTCATATATACATCTGTGCTTTGCCTGTAGTGGCCAGAGGTTGACACTGGTGTCCTCCTCACAGCTGTCTGCCTCATCTTTTGAGAATCTCTTTCTGAACATACAGCTTTCCCATTGGGCTAGCCTGGCTGGTCAGCAGGCCCCAGCTCTGTGATTACTGCTACACCTGGCTTTTCCATCAGTATCGGGGACCGAACTCAGGTCTTCTTGCTTGCCCAGCAAGCTTTTTTTCCCCATAGAACCAACCACCTTTCTAACTTCAAATTTGAATTTCACTTTTTGAGACAGGGTTTTTCTGTGTAGCCCCGGCTGTCCTGGAACTCACCGCCTGCCCCTGCCTTCTAATGCTGGAACTGCAGGCATGCACTAATGCTGGGGATCAAATCCAAGGCTCCAACATGCTGGACAAATACTCTGCCAACCTATTTCCCCAGCTCGTTATTTACTGATTTTTTAAAAATTTGTTTTGTTTGTTTGTTTGTTTGAGACAGGCTTTCTCTGTGTGTAACAGAGCCCTGGCTGTCCTGAATTTGCATTTGTAGACCAGGCTGGCCTCAAACTCAAAGAAACCTGTCTGACTCTGCCTCCCAAGCCCTGGGATTACAGGTGTGTACCACCATACCTGGCTCAGCCAGTACCGGTAAACAGAATCTATCTCAAACAACAACAAATATTTAAGATCTGTAACTCAAATTGAATGACTGCTATGTGCCAAGTTGTGCCATTGTATCACTCACCTTGTAAATCTTGCCAGTAGCTGACAGGGGAGGAAACAAAGAAACAGGATTACTAGATCCCTTACCAGGCTGGAGTAGGAAGTCTATCCAGCTCACCACTGTGTTTTACTGGCCAAGATAAACTCATTTGCAATAGAAGCTCAAATATCTGTTGCTAAATAATTACATATATAAAAATCTCACAACTAGTGAGTGATAGCTGGGATTCAGCCCAGCCTGTCTGGCTCCAAAGGATGTGTCTCTCTCTTTCAGCGGTGCTGGGAGTCAGATGGGGCCTGGTACCCGCTAAGTATGTGCTCTACCATGGAGCCACATTCCTGCTCCAAAGATTGTGTTTATATGTGAGTGTGTGTTATACAATTATGTGTATGTATGAATATAAAATGAGAATATTTATGTAGATTCTTATAAATATAAACATCCATTTATTTGTTTGTTTTTGAGGCTGGGTCTCACTGTGTAGCCATGGCTGGTCTTAGAACTGGCTAAGTAGACCCAGGCTGGTCTTGAATTCACAGAGATCCGCCTGCTTCTGCAGGGATTTCAGGCGTGCACCGTCAGGCCCAACTCAATGACTATTATTGAGCATTATGCTTCTTCCTCTCCTCCTCACGATGAAGAATTCTCTGTCTCAGCTCTGCAAAGCTACAAAGTAAACGTAGCGCATCTTCGAGGAAAGATAACTCAGCAAAAAGGAAGCATACTCAGTTGTATAAAATAGAATATTTTAGAGTAGAATGCAGACTTTGCTTAGAGTTTAGAAAAAGAAGATGGTAGCTTGGAAAGAAAATGCTTTTTGGTGACCCTTTCAGGCCGTGACCCTCTAGATAATTTAGATAGGGTTTCTATTGCTGTGATAAAACTCCATGGCCACAAGCAGCTAGGGGAGGAATGGGTTTATTTCATAGAACATCATCCAAAGAAGTCAGGGCAGGGACTCAAGGCAGGAACCCAGTGGCAGGAGCTAGTGATGCCATGGAGGAGTGCTGTGTCCTGCCTTGCTCTGCCTGCTTTGTAACAGCCTGCGGGATCATCTGCCTGTGAGCTGGCCCCACCCACATTAATCATTAGGAAAATGCCCTGTAGGCTTGCCCACAAGCCAGTCTGGTGGGAACATCTTAGTTTAAGTTCTCTCTTCCCAAAGGCTCCTAGCACTTAATACATTAGCATTGTTTCAGAGGACTCCCTCAGGGTATCAAGTATAGTAGTATATCTGATGGCCTGCTCATTCCTTTCATCTTTTCTCTTTTCTACTTTTTTTTTTTTTTTTTTAAGACAGGTTTTCTCTATGTAACTCTGGCTGCTCTGGAACTCACTCTGTAGACCAGGCTAGCCTTGAACTTAGCTCTGCCTGCCTCTGCCCCCTACTCTCCCCTCCCCAAGTGCTGGGATTAAAAACATGTGCTGCCACCACCCGAGTTTTGTTTTTTGTTGTTGTTTTGTTTTTGTCATTCCTTTTCATGCTTACTGGATCAGCCTAGTCCCATTAAAGCACCTCAGTAGTCAATAAAACAGTTCATCTGTAATATTAAGGAAGCTATGAGACTTGTCAACCAGAAATGATTTGCTTTGTAAGTTGTTAAGTCTTGTAGGTTTTTGGAGGTGCAGGCATGAAATGCAGCCGGCCTCCAGGTTTGATGTACCGTTATAGATGGCCCCAGCATTTACCAGATGTCCCCTTGTGATTCTAGGGGATTCAAACTGATGAGAAAGGCCACATCATCGTCGATGAGTTCCAGAATACCAGTGTCCGAGGCGTCTACGCTGTGGGCGACGTCTGTGGAAAAGCACTTCTCACCCCAGGTAATGCGCCTGTCTCGGGAAGAGAGGCCTGCGTGGCACCGTAAACACCAGCATTTCACAGTCACGTCAGCAAAGTCAAAAGTACATGTCTTCTGTCATCAGAGTGGCATTGAAGTAGGTGTGTGCTAGATAACGCACATTTTCTAAATAAATCCATTGTTCCTTAGAAGGCCCTGTTTGCTGCTTTCTCACAAAATAGCTGACAAAAGCAACTGAAAGAAGAAAGGGTTTATCTTGGCTCCTCGTGCAGGGAGCCATGAGACCATCACAGCGAGCAAGGAACATGAGGCTGCTGGTCACGTTGAAGAAGCCTCAAGAAGCAAATGTTAGCGTTCAGCTCGCTCTCTCCTTTTTTCCTTTTTGTCCAGCCCAGGACGCCAGCCCAAGGGACAGTGCTGCCCATATTCAGGCGGGTCCACTCTCGTCAGTTAAACCTGTCCGGAAAAATCCTCATAGAGACACCAAGGCCTGGGCCTTGTTGCTTGACTGTAAATCCAGTCAAGTGGACAAGGAGGATCAGCTATCACAGACAATTAGCAAATGCTAAATCCTTCGTGAAGAAAGCCTTCATATAGGTTACTTCCCGAACACTTGTGTGCTAGGCAGTTGTCCTTCTTGTGTGAGTAAGTGGTGTTGGTGCCACCAGCTCCAGTGTCCTTGTCCTCATTCCTCTACCTCGACCCACTTCAGGAGCATGTCTGAGATGTATGCCACACCTGTCCACTATCTCGTCTGCTCTCCATGCATCTGTGACTCATCACCAGACTTCCCAGATGTCCTAAGGTCTTACCTCAGGGTGGAAGCCTGTTCTCTTTTCTTCATGATTTGTGGCACACAGCATGATGTTTTTAAATATTTCCATTTTTGGAGACCTTGGTCAGTCTGGTTAACATTTATTACCTCACATCATTTTGGTTTTTGTTTTCAAAAATAAAATCTGCTCTCAGTGATTTTTTTTTTTTTTGAGACAGGATATCTCTTCATAGCCCTGGCTGCCTAGGAACTCACTGTGTAGACAAGGCTGTCCTCCAAATCATAAAGCTCTGTCCGCTTCTACCTCCCGAGTGCTGGGGTTGAAGACATGCATAACTACTATCAACAATTTTTATGTATACAGCACACTGTATAAATTGTATACTTATACTGTTAACAGTGGTTGCTTTGCTGTGCGTTGGATCTCTGGAACAGAGTCATCTTAACTGAAATTATATCCTTTGAAAAACATCCTCCAGCACTTGGGAGGCAGAGACAGGTGGATCTCTGTGAGTTCAAGACCAGCCTGGCCTACAGAGCAAGTACCAGGACACCTAAGGCTTCACAGAGAGACCCTGTCTCAAAAAAACCAAAAAAGAAAAAGATTGTCACATCATCAATTAATAGCTCATCTTGGGGGAAAAACTGGTAATTTTATATCAGTAAATTAATAACAGATATTTTTTCTGGACTCAGGCCTTTTGAGGAGAAGACATAGGAATAAAAACAGGCTAGACGGAAACAAACTTTTTAGTTTGTTTTTTGTTTGTAACGTACTGGCTGGGCGCAGTGGTACACTGCTAAAATCCTAGCACTCGGAGGCAGAGGCAGGCTCTGCGAGTTTGAGGACAGCCTAGTGTAAGCGAGTTCAGGACAGCCGAGGCTACACGGAGAAGAACTTAGCAAAGTAGAAATAAAAATGTGCCAAACTATGGTTTGCTCTGTAAATATCCTGCCAGGAAAGCTAATGTCCTCACTAAGCAGATTGAGTGCCAGGAGATTGGGAATGTAGGGATATGTCACTTTTCTTCATAATAGAGTGCACAGAGTTTGTTCAGCCAGTAGTTTTGAATGGTTCGTGATGGCAGAGCTAGCTTTTCATTATGTTGAAGTAGACATGATAGTGACATTGTGGTAAGGTTCTGTCAGAGCTGGGCCAGGTCAGTGCATGGCTGTTAGAATAGCGCTGCCGTTCTAAAAGAAACGGTGAAACAAACACCACCTTTTGTATCATTGTAGTTGCAATAGCTGCAGGCCGGAAACTTGCCCATAGACTCTTTGAACACAAAGAAAACTCCAAATTAGACTACGACAACATCCCTACCGTGGTCTTCAGCCACCCCCCTATTGGGACAGTGGGCCTCACCGAGGGTAAGTATTTTAAAATGAAGTTAATCTGTGGTTTCTTCTCTAAACATCATCGGCCCCAATGACTGTCTCCCAACTTACACAAACCCTTTGTTTAGTCTGGAGTCGTGTTTCTCAAGCCATGAGTACTTAGAGAGTCTGGCTCCTGCTGCCCATACTTCATTGTGTCTGTTTCTCTCTCTCCCTCCTTCTCCTTCCGCTCCCCCCTCTCTATATATATTTGGATAAGAGTTGCCAAAAGAATACAAAAGACTCCTCTGGGTTGTTAACTGTCTTTTTCCTTATCATTTTTGTACCCTATACATATACTGTACTTTTTTTTTTTTTTTTTTTTTTTTAAGAACACAGGTCTTCACTTACATAACCATAGTCTCAGGATGAGAAAACTTTACTTAATAAAGTATTATTTAAACTTTAGACTTTATGCAGATTTTGCCAGCTATCTCAAATGTCATTTTCAGCCCATCATCTCCCAGATTCCGGGATTCAGTCTAGCATAATTTAATGGCAGGCAGTTTGGTCTCAATTTAATCAGAAACACAATTCTTCAGCCATTCTGTCTCTGGTGTGACATGGAATTTATTTTGTAGAACGCCCCTTATTTTGGTATAGTTAGATACTGCCTTCTTATTTGAATCAGGTATGTTTCTGGCCATTACTCTCTCATAGCTCTGAGGAATAGTTTAGTGTTTGACTGATATTTTTTAATGTGCATTATAGATGAAGCTGTTCATAAGTATGGAAAGGACAATGTGAAAATCTACTCAACTGCCTTCACCCCAATGTATCATGCTGTGACCACAAGGAAGACAAGATGTGTGATGAAAATGGTTTGTGCCAACAAAGAGGAAAAGGTATTGGTGTCTCTCCTATATGTATTTCATATGCTCTTCATATTTGGGAAAAAAAAAGATTCTGTTCCTTTTAAAAACTGAGGTTTGATTCTCAGCATTGAAAAAAAATGACTATTTTAAAGATTAAAAAATAAAAACAAGCGCTAGAGAGATGGCTGAGGTTAAGAACAGTGCTGGAGAGTTGGCTCAGGGGTTAAGAGCACTGCCTGTTCTTGCAGAGGACCCAGCTTCAATTCCTAGCAACCACATAGCAGCTTATAACTATCTGTAACTCCAGTTCCAGGGATCCCACACTCTCACACAGACACATGCAGGCAAAACACCAATGCAAATAAAATAAAAGTAAATAAATTATTTAAGGAAAAAAAAAAAAGAACATTGTCTGTTTTTCCAAAGAGTCCAAGTTCAATTCCTAGCAACCACATGGTGGCTCATAACCATCTATAATGAGATCTGTCTTCTATTGCGCAGGCACACGGGCAGGCAGAATGTTGTATAAATAATAAATAAATAAATCTTTTTGAAAAATAAAGTTGAAAAATAAAAAAATGCTAGGTGTGGTAGCTCATGCCTTTAATTCCCACACTCAGAGTCAGCTACAGGCGATCTCTGTGAGGCCAGCCTGGTCTACAAAGCTAGTCCAGGACAGCCAGAGCTATGCAGAGAAATCCTGTCTCAAAAAAACCAAATAAATAAATAAATAATAAAACAAGGTGTCACTGACCACTAGTGCAGAAGAGCCAAGAAGCTCAGAAATACTGGTAAAGGGGGCCTGGAAGATGACCCAGTGCCTAACAGCGCTTGCTGCTCTTGCAGAGAACTGGATTTGGCTCACACGTCCACATCTGTCAGGTGGCTCTCAGCCGCCTGTAACTGTAGCTGAGGGGATCTGGAACCCTTTTCTGGCCTTTGAGGGCACCCCCAAACATATGAACGGGATTACAGAATTGTTTCAACATTAGACATTTACTAATGTCACTTTATCTTTCTGAGGGTCTGCTGAACGAGTTTTGGTGTTTTGAAGGATTTTATGTTCCTACAGCAAATTTCCCCTTTCCTCCACATCCTCACCATTGTCCTTGCAATGTAGCCACTTTGAATGTGTCATGTCATGTGATCTCTAGGTATAGTTTTGGTCTGCGTTTGAGTGAATTTTATTTTATAATTTAGAAAACAGGTTTGGTGTGGGTTCTCAGCTTATTAGAACTGTTTCTTCCAGTTCAGTTAAATCTTAAGGAGAAACTTGGTCGTGTGTAAAGGATACGGCTTACAAATGAAGTGTTTGCTTGGATTTTTGAAACCGGCTCTTACCACATAACCTGGTTCAAATTTCAAACACTTGCCGCCAATGCCGGGCTGTGACATTGGTATGAGGTGGCCTGGCGGGTAGAGGTGCTTGTTTGAAGGCCCTGATAATCTAAGGTCGATCCCCTGATCCCCCCCACACACACAGAATGACAGACAGAACTGACTCCCCAGAGTTTTTCTTTGACCACCAGTGTTCAAACTAGCACAGGTGTGCCTGACCATTCTCTCACACCTGCCTATGCTCATGCTCTCTCTCTATCCCCCCACATAACACTGAAATAAAAATTGTTTTAAAAATGTAGCTATAGTAATAGTTTTCAGCTTTTATTCTTAATAATTTCAAGTTGTATATCTGATTTGATGGACTTCAACACCAAAAGTCACAAGACATAGTTCAGCCCCTCAAACTGGCAGAAACAGAGACTCGGAACAGCCTAGGAGAGGGGTTCGTGGCAACACAGCACAGCCTGCTGCCTGGAACAGTCCTCAGTGACTGTTGACTGCCACATCAGTTGGACCCTCTTCTTCCCTTCCTGTTCTATCAGGGTCCCAGGGAGCCTCTGGGCTCCCAAGTTCTCCTATAACTAAAATTCAGGAGTTCCTGTCCTTGGAACAGGCGCAGGGATTGAGTTGTAATTGTGTAGTCCCTCCCAAAAATATATAACGTTGTGACTGTTGACAGAACTACTGGTGCTCAGAGAGCAGGGCAAAGAATTACCTGGTCCAGGAAGTCTGTAGCTGTCTGGTTAATGAACAGGTTTAGCTCTTAAGTGAGAAGAAAGGTGTAGCCTGTGATGTCAGCACCCAGGATGCTGAGGCAGGAGGATCAGGAGTTGGTGACTAGCCTGGGCTATACAGCAAGACCCTGTCAGGAAAAAAAAAAAAGGAAGGAAGACATTTATCAAACAGAGACATGTGTTCAAAGAGAAGTGCATGGACAGGCAGAAAGTAAGAGTAAGAAAAAGCTGGCATGCACTGTGGGGGGACATTGAGGCAGGGCTGCATAAGGCCTCCTAGGTGTCCTTACACTGACTCTGGAGTAGAAACATGATTAGAGGGCTGGAGAGATGGCTCAGCAGATAAGAGCACCATCTGCTGCTCCAGAGGTCCTGAGTTCAAATCCCAGGCAACCACAGGGTGGCTCACAACCATCTACCCTGGAATCTGACACCCTCTTCAAATAAAACACGCATATGTAAAATAAATAAATACAATTTTAAAAAAGAAAAGAAAAATATGATTAGAGGCCAATCAGTGGTGGCACATGCTTTTAATCTCGACGCTTGGGAGGCAGAGACAGGTGGATCTCTATGAGTTTTGAGGCCAGCCAGGGCTACACAGGAAAACCCTGTCTCGAAAAAAAAAAAAAAAACAGAGAAGAAAAAACCATGATTAGATTTTTAGATTTCAGGGTGGAGATGGATGCAGTACCTCAGGCAGTGCGGCCAGGTGGTCCATGTGGAGCAGTTCGTCCCGTGACTGTGTAGCTGATACAGATCTGGCTTCCGCTTTCTCGCAGGTGGTTGGAATCCACATGCAGGGCATTGGCTGTGACGAGATGCTGCAGGGCTTTGCTGTAGCAGTGAAAATGGGGGCCACCAAGGCCGACTTCGACAACACGGTTGCCATTCACCCTACCTCTTCAGAAGAGCTGGTCACACTCCGCTGAGCCCAGGGACTTGTACGGCTAGCGGTCGGACCAGGAGGCCTCTGAGAGGAACCACGCCGTCGAGTTTACTTCCTGCTCCAGCTTCGTATTTTCTTCATTTTAATCAAGACCTCCTGACAGTGTAAATTTTTAGCTCAAAAGAAAAAACCTTATTTATCTAATCAACAATTTGTTTTGTTAATCTGGGGTTGGATTTCATTTGATTATATTTACAGTAATTAATATTTTGTCTTTTTCAATTAACATCCCCGTGTTAGCTGTATTTTTCTTGCTTCAGCCTCATTCCAGGTATAAATGTATATCAAAGTACACTGAAGTTAATGCACCTGATGAGTGAATATAGCTGGCTCTTTTTTTTTTGGACAGTGTCTCTCTATGCAGCCTACCATGGCCTCAGACTCAAAACCCTCCAGCTATAGCGTCCTGAGTGCTGGAACTATAGACTTGCATGGCCACTCCTGGCCTAGCTTGTTAGTTTTATATGGTGGTTCGTCTCCAGTGTACAGAATATATGTGTGTTTCTGAGTCTGGTATTTTTGTTCTGTATTGAGAGGCTGCCCTGAGGATGTAACCTCTCTATTTCCATTTTATTCTTTTCTCTGTCTTAAATGATTGGAAATGGTTCCTGTTATTTTCATGAAGTGAAAATTAACATTAGTAGAGCATTAACATTAACATTAGTAGAGCTGAGGCTGGTAGGGTAAGTGAGAAACCTCCTAGAGATGATTGCTTTCAGGAGGGGCGGGCTGGGCCTCCTCAGGAGTACTTTCTTTTGCGCATTCACAGTTCAGTCAGTCATTTCAGTATTTCTGTTTCTGTCTTTTTTTTTTTTTTTAATGAGAACTATTCCAAAAATCTGAAATTCACTCCATTGCCTTATAAATTTTATTATGAACTTATTGTTGTCAGTTTATTTTCTAAGAATTTTCACACCAAGAGAGCAGATAACAGCCCCTGTTGCAGAAGAAGTCTCTTTAAAACAGGTGCTGGGAGGGCTGGAGGGACGGGACGGCTCAGCACTTGCTGCTCTTCTGGGGGGCTTGGTTCGGTTCCTAGCTCCTACCCGGTGGCTCCTATCTGTCTGTGACTCCAGTTCCAGGAGATCCGATTTCCCTCTTCTGGCCTTTGCAGGCACTACACACGTGGGTACAAACACACCCACAGGCAAAAACACTTCTACACATCAAGTAAATCTTCAAAAAGTAAGAGTAAAACTCTGTTTGAGCTTGACAACTATTCCCGTCTCCATCAAAGCAGCTGTGACTTACTGCCAAGAGACACTTCAGATGAAGAGCCCGTATGCATTTCCTTGTAGAAGGCAGGGGTGGAGAGCTAGCCTGAGCGCTCAGACACTCACCCGAATTTCTCTGTCCGCTGAGTGTAATGCTGACCCACCGGAAGTTAATCTTGTGGTCTCAGGAGGAGCTAGGGTGTGGAAGGTGAAGTGAAGAGAGGGACAACCATCTATACAGCTATGGGGAAGTCTTCACCTGTGCTGGGTGAGCCTTGGCAGTAGCTCTCCGGGCTTACCCATGAACCTGTAAGGAACTCCAACTCATTGGTTGGCCAACTTAGCCTTTGGTAGAGAAGTGGTGCTTTGATCTGCTGCGATTCCCTGTCTGAGTAAGTAGATATTTGTTTCCATCTTCCCACTGTTCACCCAACAGTTCTTGTGTTTGCTCAAGTCCAGTCAGTGTATTGTCTTCAGTGTAATGGACTGGTGTGTTATCTCGTGGAAGGGAAAAGCAGCCCAATTTGCTGCGAGCCCAGTTGTGACAGGCTGGAGGGCACATCCCCAAGACAGGCCAGTGAAGGGTGTTGCTGGCCTGGCCAGCCAAAAACAAACTGCTTTTAGTGGCCCTACTTGGTAACATGGATAAAAAGCCTTTGCCAGGTCAGTAGTACATACCAGGTGTCTTAATGATCTGTAGGTGTGAAGGACACTATGACCACTGCAACTCCTGTAAAGGGAAGCATTTAATTGGGGTTGGCATGGGGTTTTCGAGGTTTAGTCCATTTTCATCGTGGGGAGCATGATGGCGTGCAGGCAGATGTGGTGTGGGAAAAGGAGCTGAGAGTTCTACATCCAGATCCACTGGCAAAAGGAAGGAGAGGGAGACACTGGGCCTGGTTTTAAATCCCAAAGCCCACCCCCAATCACACATTTCCTCCACACCTACTGTAACAAGGCCACACCTCGTAATCCTTCCCAAGTAGTACCACTTCCTAATGACCAAACATTCAAAAATATGAGCCTATGGAAGCCATTCCTATTCAAACTGTCACAGAGGTGTTGGATTGCCCTGGAGCTGGAGTTACAGACAACATGGGCTGTTTGATGTACGTACTGGGAAAGGAACTTGGGTCCTCTGCAGATGCAGCAAGGGCTATTAACCACTGAGCCATCTCTCCAAGCCCCCTAAATAAATGTTTTGTTAAGTGAAATGGTAGTACAGATCAGAAAGTCAAGACTGACAACAGACCATATGAATGAAGGCATTTAGGTGACTCAACTTTTATGTGAGTTGAGTTTTGTTATTAGGGGCATAGCTTGGGTGGTTCTCTATTTTGTTTGGCAGATTACATAACTTTCTCTACAGCACATGTCTCTTTCCATATTACAACTGATGAGTATGCACACCCATCTTTGCACAGGCAGAGTTGGTAAATGGGATTTTACCTGAAGGTTTAGTTTGAGGACACAGTTTGCCTTACTGTACATGCATATACACAAAACCAGTTCAGCAGGTTAGCTGGCCCTAAGTGGTGGAGTATGATCTAGTAAATCGGTCTCAGTGTAATGGTTCTTAAGGGGAAGAGATAATTACTCTACTGTTCAGAGCACAAGGCCCAAGTATGTGGCTTTATGACTGTGGGGCCCTATCGTGCTAATAGGTGCCTGAGTGCGTTGTTCAGAGTAAAGCATGTGTTTAGTACACACAGGTTAAGAGGCTCAGGCTTCCAAGTGCATTACTGGGAGAGGGATGTGTGTATAGCCCAAGCCAAGAAGAGTCCCAGATTGCTAGACTCTTGTCTATGCTAGCTTCCCTCATAAATCGTGCAAGTATTACAACTAGTAATACAAGTGGATGAGAGTATGACAAACTGCTGTGATCTCCCAGAATCAGTCTGTCTCCTGCATGGGGTGTAGTGGGGGTTGCCCTTGCAGTATCGCTTTTGGTTTATATTCATCAAGGTAGACACAGATAGGCTTTCATTATGTGTGGAAATTATGCCAGCTACTAAATGTGTCTATTCTCTGATGTGCGGGAGGGGTTCAGAGACCCTTGAGGACCAAGTACAAGACGCACCTGAGTTCCAGCAGCCCCCTACTCTGGAACTCCACAGTGAGATTTTGTTCCTTGGAATTGGTGTCTGTTTAGAACTAGTGTTTCTGAAATCTTTCCCAATGAGAAGGCACCCTAGTGAAAAAGAATTCTCTTTAAGAAAATATGTCGTGGTGGTGGGGTAACAATGTAAATTTTTGGCAGTGGGACAGGGTCTTTTCTAAAGAGGAAGTGGCTTCTTTGTTGTTCAGGGGGTTCTGGGTTTGTAAACTGGGTCAACCCCAGAGCGGACTGAGGCTCTCTGTCTAGCATGGCTGTGTTTGTGATTCAGGCTAGGCTTTCTAGATAGCGTGAGATTTATACATTGCGCTCAGCAATACCTTGACCAAGTAGCCATCACCACAGGCTTGGCTACCCTGATTAACTCCTGAATATGTCCCATTACACAAGCCACACGCACTGCCTGGCTAGCAATATAAATACCTAACAACAACAAAACATTTTGTATCTGTCACGTCTTAGCTCTGATAATAACCACGGAACCGCTAGGAAGTGTGTAAGGAAGAGGAGGAGGAAGAGGAGGAGGAGGAGGAGGAGGAGGAGGAAGAAACCCCTGCTTTTACTGAAGGGATAGAGCCAGCAGCAAAGGGGTACGGTGGGGATAATACAGCAATTGAAGGAACAGTTTTACATATTTACATATTTGCCAGAGATGAAAAAAAATAAAAAGACTAAGTACAGCAAGTACACACACTAACAGTGAGCTATACTCTCAGCCCTAACACTGAATATTTTTAAGTCTTTGTCTTTCATTTGGATGGGGGGAAATAAAAAGATCTGTTTTACTTCAAAATTGGATGAGGATGCGTATGACCCCTCTAACTTCATATGGACCGTGAGGTACGTGTGTGCTTCCTCAGATGTACAACCCTAAACTTGAGGACAGCAGCATCTTTCCGTACCAGCCCTATCTTCCTTTTCATGCTCCACCTTCGAGTCAGCCTGGAAGCGAGGCTCCACCCTCTATGGTCGTGGTCAAGATCGCCCTTGCCATTTGTAGCCCAGTGTCCCAGATGCTGGTCTCTCTACCTCCGGTGACCTGATTATCCTACATGCCTGACCTCTCCACAGACCCAATCCCAGCCCGCAGCCAATCCAGGCTCTCTGGTGTTCTTCCAAAGTGTTTTCATTGAATTTCCAGAGCTCTTGGCTCGGTCTCCCTTCTGCTCTGGACCCTTTTGGTGTTGTGACAATTTAATCATGCTGATATTTCTTATTCTTCCTCCTACTTGGACATAATGCACAGTTCATGATTACTTTGGGGATAAAAATATTCACTGGAGACAGGTGAATCCGTAAACATTAAAGCTCTACCATTTTATAAAGGCAACACTTCCAGACATGTCTGTTTATTGTTTAACTATATTTAGTGAGCATAGTCTGTATGGCAGGCCGATTAGTAGAGATGCATTCCTTTAAATAAGTTTCTGAAAGACTGTCTTATTTTTGTTCTTGTTTTTCAAGATAGGATTTCTCTGTATAGCCCTGGCTGTCCTCACTTTCTAGACAAGGCTGGCCTTGAACCCAGAGATCCACCTGCCTCCAGAGTACTGGGATTATAGGTGTGTGCCACTGTGCCCTGCTGTCAAGACTTTGTCTTTTAGGATTCATTTAGAAAGCCAGTTGTATTGGAGTTCTCTAGAGTAACAGAATTTATAGAATGAATATGTCTCTAGCTAGCTAGCTATCTCTATCCATTTTGGGTTTTGGTTAATCCAGATATAGGCATTTGACAACCAAGAACAGTCACCACAACACTGCTTCTACTTATCAAAAGTTTCTCATCATCATCAAGAAAAATTCTTTAAAAATTTGATTACATGTATTTGTGAGTATGCAGGCACACACATGCACATGGTGAGAAGACACCTTGAAAGAGCTGATTCTTCCCTTTTATCACATGGATCCTGAAAATCAAACTCAGGTTGTCAAACATGGTGGTGAGCAAAGCTCAGTGGAACAATTCTTTTTTGTTCCCTTCTTTTTGCTGTTGGTTTCGTTCGTGAGAGAGCCTCGTGGGGCTTGAACTCACGAGGCAGCCAAGAATGACCTTGATCCTTCTGCCTCTGCCTCCAAAGTCCTGGGCTGTGGCAGGCCACACCACACCTGGTTTTATGTGGCACTGAAGCTCACACTGAGTGCGTCCGGCATGGTAGGCAAGGACATAGCCATCCCCTATCCCCACTGGTCTTGAAGAAGCAAAAACCATATTACAAATTGAATCTGCCCAGAGAACCCTGGTGGCAAGACTCTGGGCACAGCCTTTAAGAACACAGAGTGGTGTCTGGCTGACAGCCAGTGAGAAAATGGGAACTCTGATTCTATGATGTTAAGAAGCTACATTCTTGTAACAGGGTCCAGACCTTAGTAGGCCCTGAGACGTTAGCAAAACTGACTCCATGATGGAAGCGCCATCAGGCTGTAAAACTAGGTACATAGCACCACAGGCCAAAACTAAAGCAAAGGCCTAATCCATCCAAGTCCATAGTTCTGGGGAACGCACTAAATGTCCTAACCTTGCTTTTGGGCTTCTGTAGTTCTGGCTAAC